GTTATTAGATACGTTAGTTCCAATCGGAAGCGAAACCCCTCCAGTGTACGATAATAACTCTCTTATGGTGGATCATTCGTTCCTGCCCATTTCATTGGAAGAAACTGAACGAGCTATCAAAAAGAATTCAAATACTTCACCGAGAATCGACAATATTCACTACGTCATGATTCATAACCTTCCAAAAAATGCCAAACTAATATTAACAAAAATATTTAATGAAATTGTTCTTCAGAATTACATCCCGCCGGACTGGAAATGTCAAATCATAATTCCTATCTTAAAAAATAATAAGAATCCTCAAGATCCTACATCTTACAGACCCATAGTTTTATCGTCGTGTGTTAATAAGACTTTCGAAAGAATTTTAAAGAATCGACTAGAATGGGTTATAGAAAATCAATCCTTATTAAGCAATACTCAATATGGATTCAGAAAGGGCAAAGGTACTATGGATTATCTAACAAGACTAGTAAACGATATACAAATCTCCAATTCCAACAACAACTTCTTAATGTTGATTTCTACGGACATAAATAAAGCTTATGATTGTGTTGATCACAAAACCCTAAATAATAAACTAAAAAATTTCAACATCCCAAATAGTGTCAAAAATGTTATTATGAAAATGGTGACGGATAGACATATATTTTTAAAAGCTAATGCTAAGTTACATGGGCCGCGCATTACAAATAAAGGAATAGCTCAGGGATCAATCCTTTCACCTCTATTATTCAACATATATATGGCTGATCTAGACAAGGCATTTAGTGGATCTACAAAAATCTTGCAATATGCGGATGACGTATGCTTCTATACATCGCATAAAACTATGAATGAATGTATAAGACACATTAGCACTTCCTTGATCCAAATGCAACAGTGGTTATTAGCTAACAACTTAAGTATATCCAGCTCAAAAACATCAGCCATTGTATTCAGTAGACGTAAAAAAGTGATTGATGCAACCTCCTTGTTAATAAGCAATCTAAGAATACCTTTAAACAGAGTGATTAAAATTCTAGGCCTTACATTGGACGATAAACTAACATTTAAAGAACACATTAATAATATAACACTAAAAACGGAACAAGGAATAAACATTCTCAGATCGATTGCAAAAACCAGTTGGGGAGCGGATCATACTATCTGTATTAGAATCTACAGAGCATTAATTAGATCTATTATAGACTACGGGAGTTTTTTATACGGGAATGGATCAAAATTGATGTTGATGAAACTAGATAAAATACAATATTCGGCCCTAAGAACTTGCTTAGGTGCAATGAGATCGACACCTACTAATATCTTAGGAGTAGAGGCGGCTAAACCTCCATTGAAGACCAGAAGAAATATGTTAGCGGATTACTTTTTGCTGAGAAAATTACACAATGACTGCAACAATATTCCAGAACAATTGAAAAAATTGCATACTTTCATTGCGTCCAGAGATTACTGGCGCAATAAGCAGAAACCTATTTTGATTAAGAGCCTTGAAAAATTCTCAGATAACCTAAATGTTATAATAAAAAATCCAAAACATCTAAGTTTCATGTATCAACAAGAATTTTCTGGAGTTACTCAAAACGTCCATCTAAATTCGGAAGAACGCGATGAACTCTTCAGACAAAAAATTGATACAATATGGCCCGGATATCGATACTTATTTACAGATGGATCTAAAATTAATAACTTGGTAGGGGGCGCAATCTTGGACCCAACAAGTAATACGAGGAGACTCTTAAGGTTTCTCGGGGACGCAAGTATATATACGGCGGAGCTGATTTGCATAAAAGTCGCAATTGAGTTAGCTATAGAACACGGCTTCCAAAAAGTGGTTATTTTCACCGACAGCCGTAGTGCTTTAGAATCAATAAACAACTGGGAAAATTCGACCAACAACATTGTTTATGAAATCGTGTCTCTGTTGGATCAATTATCACTTATGAGATTCGACATACACGTTGCCTGGGTTAAAGGCCACTCGGGTATATTCAATAACGAACTGGTAGACATTTTAGCTAAACGGGCGTGTTACGTTGGTGAAATCTATGAAAAAATCCCGGCACTGGATTACAAGCAAAAAGCAAAAAACATGGCCAAACAAGAGTGGCAGGCGGACTATACAGAATCACTAAGAACTCGAGGCCGCAAATATGGCCAGCTTTTTGTAAATGTGGCACATACACCCTGGTTCGACAAAATAAATAAGGAGAGAAAGTTCATCACTACAATATGTAGATTGAGAACCGGTCATGCGAAATATAAAGAACATTTGAAGAAAATCAATATTTTACTGGATGATACATGTAGCTGCGGGAGTCAACCAGAATCTTTAAACCATATTTTTTTCGAATGCTGTAATTATCAAGTTCAGAGGAGGAGGTTTTATTTTTATTTGGAGAAGGAAAAAGTTCAGTTTCCAACCAGTGTCTCCCAACTCCTTAGCCTACAGTCTGTAGAAATATATAACAATATAATAGACTATTTAAAACTATGTAAAGTAGATATATAAAGTAGAAACAAGTTTAGTTAATATTAACCCTAGAAATTAGTAAGTGTAATTATGTGATTATGGCAATAAGGATGTACCAGATGCCAATAAAATAAATTAAAAAAAAAAAAAAAAATGTGATTATCCATGTTTATTAAATAGTATATTTCTTTTTTTTATTTATATAGTTTATAATTTTGTTATTTGTTTGTTTAAATCTTTCTCGGGTTTTTCACCATATTCTTTATTTGACTTTAACGATTCATCTTGCAGGATAAATTTATTCAACATATTTTAGTCTTTCATTTATTCTCGTATTTACTGTGCAATCATATGATTCATTTTTCCGCATTTAACCCTCCGTCGGGCGCAGTCCCGTTACGCACACGTTCGGGCGCAGTGTATCCGACAGCAACGGTTTTTAAGTATATCTTCAGGAGGCTCCTTATTTTATAAACATGTTTATTTTTTGTTTAATTATATTTCAGAATGTATACTTTTTGAATAAATAAAGAAAAAAAGAATTCAATAATATTTTATTATAAAATGTAGAAAAATATAAACATGTGTATATATGCACAAATTATTTACATTCACTTTTCTTTATTGAAATACACAGTCTCTAACTTTTTTTTCATTTGTCACTTTATTAAAAATAAGTAATATAATAATGATAGTTTAATGTGTATAGTTAAATATTATGATTTACACAAGCATTTGAACAAGCACTGCATAGAAAATTGCATGTTGTAAACACAGTGCTTTTCGACAATTAGCACAACAAAATCTTGAAAACCGTCTAATATTAGCTTCTAATGTACACGGTTCACATCGCCGTTTTTTTGTGGCTCTTCTTGTTATTGTGAACCATTTTCCTGTGAATTTGGTCTGAATCTTTTGAGTCCTGCCTGCAAAGTGAACGGAATCCCACTCGTGATTTCACTTCTAGAAGTTCATGCGATAATTGTCTCAAAAAATATCTTCTTCGGAGATCTTTCTTACCATGACTCCAACATTCTATAGGCGTTGCAGCATTTTTTGCGTTTCCTATAACACCTGGTAAATGTCTTAATTAGTTCTGGGATTTTGTTCGAATCCTATTAGAGGGAGGTTTGCTACACCACTTTGTAGATTTATCTCTACTCATAAAATATTTAGCATTATTGTTCAAATTTATTTGTTCCTCACTTTCATCCTGTTCGTCCTCTTGTTCTATCTCAGAATCGACTTCGCGACTCTCTAGATGGTCTTCGTCACTTCCACTTTCATCGCCTAAACCGTCAAGAAGATTATTTTCATTAGCATCATCATTCAGCATTCTTAGAATCTCTTCTGCATGAGCAGGTTTTTCTAAATTATATATTTTTTTACCACTCACCATATTTACTAGCCTATAAAATGTATGGACTCAAGTTAGTAACACATTCGGGCGCAGTGAATCTCGTAGATACTTTCAAAAAAATTTCAATTAAATGAAAAGTATTAAGATATATATTCAAAAATACGTAAAAAATACAGAAAAAGAATACTTACATGCACAAAAAATTGCAATATTCGTACGTATCAAAACGTTGCACGTTCGGGCGCAGTGTATCTCTAGGATCAAAATACCGATTGCCACTATATGTGAAGGTCAAACACAAAATGATAAAGACGCATGACTAAAACATATAAAATTAGGAGGCTATTGAAGAGTGGAGGTTTCTATAACATTCAACCAAGGCGCAGCATGAAAAAATTATTGGCTCTGTATCTGTCAGATCAGGTGCGCCCGACGAAGGATTAAAAGATTTTCTTGGCTGTCCTTTCATGATTATTGTTGTATTTTAGTTTACATTAATTTTGATGCTATCAGGTATTTCTTTTGTTAGTTCCGTAAGGAATGTTCTGT